GCCGGCCTCGCCTCGCCTCGGCTGCGATCGCTCCTGCACGCCGGCTGCCTGCCCCGGCGGCCGGACAGAGCCACAGGCTTGCTGTCTGGCCCCTCGGTCTTGACTTTTTCCCCCCAAAACAGCAATGGAAAACAATTAGCTCTGAGTCCATGGATGCCAAAAATCGAGGATGAGCCTGGTACAGAGTACAGGGTTCATTTGGGCTGCTGTACTCGAGGGAACTGTGGTTACACTTAGCAGGGCCAGGGGGTCACAGCGGTCCGCGCCGCAGGGCCGGAGCTTCTGTCGTAGGCGCAGGAAGGCCAAGACCTCACTGCTGCCCCATTCCTGAACTCGGGGCTGGGCTCCCCAAGGCTAACCGCCTGACACTTGGTCTCAACCTGAGTTTTACCATGGAGGTAACTTTTCCACAATGAAGTGGGTTACACAACAAACTTTGTCCAGAATGGTACCCATACTATCGCACGGACACTGCCAGGTAGTAGCTCTGATTCTGCAAACTGCATTTGCTTTCAGTGGAAGAGGTGTCAGGGAGAACCTGGGGCACGTTGCTGCCTTTTCCTGTCTTTCCTGTGCCAACTCGGGTAGGCAAGGATGGCGAGGACTCACAGCAGACCTTCTCCAAAGGCTTTGAACTAAGCAGGTTCTCTAACCTGTTTCTAATCCACACTCCCTACTAGTTTTGAAGGGAGTGTGGATGCCACATTCTTAGATTCCAGCCCCTTAAGCCTTCTGCTTATATTTTATGAGAGGGAGCTCCCCCTAGGGGTGTCCAGGTATTATAGATCTAGAGAAGTGGGCCTCTGGCTTTTTGACAGCGAACAACAATATTGAACACTTGATCAAACAGGTATATTAAATTATTGCAGAATAATGTTAATAATAAAGGCAGATTTATACCAAGTTTGCACATATCCCTTCTAGTGGATTTAACACTATTTTCTGTATAAATTCAGAGTCCTCAATGACATGACTAATGGAATAGAGAAAAACGAAGTAGCGCTCGACATTTAGAAAGCAGAAAAGTTTTAAGAGAAAATAGACAGCAGTTGTCATAGTCAGTTTCCTCACTGCTAAGACACAGTTCCCAGCACTCACTGCTTAAAAAAGGAGAGACTTGGTCGCACAGCCTGTGGAGGCGTCAGTCATGTAGTGGCTCCATGGAGGGACAGCACGGCAGAGAGCGAACAGGAAGAGCTGCTCGGGTCTGGGTGTCCGGGAAGCGGAGCACGAAGGGAGGAGCTGGGGTCAGAGAAGAGCTCTTCCCCGTGACCCCGCTCTCCAGACCAGACCCCAACTCCTAACAACCAGTTGGCTAGAAGCCCCATAACCCACTCGCCTTCCCAAACCCCGCTTATGAGGACGTGAGGCTTTGGGAGACATCTAGGCAGAAACCACAAGGAGACTCTTGTAGGACATACAATTTTAGTGGAAATAAAGTGATCTGAAAAATAATTGTGACATTCTCCAACTGGAATGGCTCCTGTGCTGATGAAACCCAGGGTGTGATAAAGCAGTTTACTGAGAGATGCACAATAAACAGGCCATTTATTCAGGCCAGAAATCTGAAAAATCAATGTCTGAGGAATCTGACGGGTCGCTGATATACATTATCAAATTCCTGAGTGCAAAATACACAAGATACACTGAATCAGATGCTAAAATAAAATGGCCTCTTGATAGGGAAAATGAAAGAAATCTTTGAAAAATTGAAACAGATATTATAGCTAGACTTCAAATAGAAATCAAGAGATGGGAAATTGATGTCCTATTTCTGAAGGTTCTAGTAGACTGAAGAACTTAGTTACCACCTTAATGACTGAGTCCTAAGAAGACAGCGCATAGAGCCACATCAGCGGCAGGAAGAAAAGGTTGGTCAGAATAACAAGGTGCAAAGAAGAGGTGGAAAAGAAGGTTCTGTGGGCACTGTAACCAACACTAAGGAAAGGTACAGATGACATCCGATTCTAGAGTAAAACTCGTTCAGATATGAGTCCACCATTCCTGGCCTCTTGGCTGTTCTTAAACAAGAGATTTGGGTTTTTTAAGTCTCAGCTTTTCTCATTTGAGAAATAAGGAGCCCTCCTTGGAGATGCTGTTGGCCCAGCTGGATGATGTAACGTATAGAAGGCACCTGAGCATTCCCAGAACATGTCAGCTGAAAGCCTACTGAACGCAGTCTGCCAGGTCCTGGACCCTGATACTGCATGTACCTCACAAGTTATGTGATGTCCGACATGTGACAACAGTAACGGACCTGGTGGACCACAAAGGTACCGAAAACAAGGGCCAGCATCTGTTCTCTTCCCATCACTCTGAGATGGAGGTGGGTGGCAGGTGCTGGTTACAGAGGATGACAAAGGTGACATGAAAGCAAGTATGTGAGGACTAAACATGGAATGTAGTCATTCTGAGCAGATTAGATACCTTTTGGTTTTTAAATTTTGAAACAATCTTTTTAACTGATACATGACATAAAAATTACAGATACTGATGGAGTACCATGTGATGTTTTGACACTTATATATTATATATTTTAATCAGGTGAAACAAATCTACCCAAACATTTATCACTTCTTTATGATGAAAAAATTAAAGCTCTTTCTTCCAGCTTTCTGAAATACTCGGTACACTATCAGCTCGTCACTCTACTGTGCAATAGCACACCAGGCCTTCTGCTTGCCACTATAACTTAGTATCCCTGGCCAGCCTTCCCCACTGCTCCATTCTCCCTACTCTCATAGCCTCTGATAATTACCTCTACTCTCAACTTCTAGGAGATCACAATTTTAATATTCCATACGTGAAAGCTAGGCATGGTAGCACACACCTGTAATGCCCGGACTCTGGAGGCTAAGGTAGAAGGATAGTGATGAGTTCAAGGTTAGGCTCAGCCAAATAGTGAGTTTAAGACTAGCCTGAATTATAGACCGAGCCCCTGTCTCAAGAGAAAAAAAAAAAATATATATATATATATATATATATATATGTATTTAAATCATATGGGAGTTATCTATGTCTGGCTTGTTTTGCTTAACATAACGATCCCCGGTTTTATCCGCAATGTCACTAACAACAGGGTTTCATTGTTCCTACACAACAGCGCTCTACTGTACATACGTACCACATTTTCTTTATCAGTCATCAGATGACAGATCATTGTTTCGAACTCTTGGCTATGAACAGTGCTTCAATAAACATGCAAGTACAGATAGCTTTGTGATACACTTCATTTCCCTTGGATACACATCTAGTAGGAAGATCGCCAGATCTTGCAATATCATAGTTCCATTTTTAATTTTTTGAAGAACCTCTATACTGTTTCTCACAATGGCTGTAGCATATTATTCGTTCTCACCAAGAGTTTAAGCGAAGTTTCCTTTTTCTGCACTTCCTCTCCAGGTTTTGTTTTGGGCACTTGAGATCAAAAAGGATACTCTACATGTACTTACTGAGCTACATCTAAGCCTATTTTTTGAGACAAGATCTGAACAAGTTTTCCAAATATGTTCTGTGCTCAAGAGTGTGTATTTCAGTGGTCAGGAGTAGGTATTTAAGCAGGTTGAAGCAATACAGTGACAGACCTTTCTCACTATTTGTGTACTACAAAACAAAGCGATCTTCCTTCAAGACCCTTGTGATGCAAAATATATCATTTCATTACACACAGATTTCATGCTGGTGTTTGGTACATTATGTAGGGGGAGAGCACACACTCGAACAGGTGATGCTGGAAGAACACATTTTTTTAATGTATCTTTTAGACTACAGGAAATTGCATATGTTGGACAATAGGAAAGATTCCAAGGTTGGATCAGAAATTCGAGGAAATTAATATCCTTTTGTTAAGTCCCAGCTTTCTATAAAACAGGGGCTCCAGTGAGCAAGAAATGACCTCAAAAGTCACCTGAGGATCCAAAAATGATGTCTCTAGGTGTTATGGCTTGTGTCTAGACATTCCCCCAAAGCCTCATGCAGTCACAGGGAGCAGGTATTTCAGAGGTGGCTGAATCTAGAGAGTGCCATGATGGGATTAAGAATGTGTGATTAGTAAATTAGTCCACTGATTGGTTGGCATACTTCTGGGCAGGATTAAGTGTGAGTGCTAATGCCCTAGGGCAGGTACCCTGCACAATAGGGAGGAGTTTCACTCTTTTCCCTTTGTTGCTTTTGCTATCTTGTAGGCTGCACCATGAACCATTCTCCTCTGACACGCCACCCTGCTGTGGAGCCAGCCAATTATGGGCCAAACTCTCTACAAACTGTGAAATAAATAAACTTTTCCTCCTTTAACTTGGTGTGTTAGGTGTTTTGTTGCATGAGTGAAAGGAAAGTAACTAAGACACTAGAGCTACATTTTGGTGTGAATTTCTACTCTGTTGCCATCTTCAGATTTAGGCCCTTTTGGCTTTCTTTGGGAACATCTTTTTCTCTTCATGATGATGTGAAATCTAGCTGTGGGTACCAGTGACAATGTGGGTCAAGTCATGGAAGCGCTGTCAGCGATGGCTGGCCAGCCCTCCCGACATCTTCCCCTAGAAATTCTGAGCATCCTTTTCTCAGCCCCTGCTAACCCATCTGAGGCTCATTCTTGAGCCTCCCTCATTATCTCTGAACACAGGATGGAGAATCATATACTGAATCTCTACTGTTCAAAAGCATCATCTTAGGCACTGTGGAAAACCAAAGGCATATGAGGAATACCATGAATGAATAAATGACACTGATGAATTGATCAGAGCATGACATCGAAAGCAACTAAAAAGTCTTCATACAATAAAAAGGTCACTTCTCACTCATATACTTTTTTAGTATCAACAAGTTTTCACTAAGACATGTGTTTCCTAGGGACCTTTGACCTGAAGTGTTTCAGAATGTGGAATCATACATA